ATCTTCCTGATTGTTGGGTGATGTAGGCAGGTCCAGCCCACTGTGGGTGGTGCCACTCCTGAGCAGGTGGGCCTGTGTTGCATAAGAAAGCAGGCTGAGCAGGGGCCAGGGGAGCAAGCCAGTAAGCAGCATTCCTCCATGGCCTATGCTCCAGCTCCTGCCTCCAGGTTCCTGCCCTAAAGTTCCTACCTTGGGCTCCCTATGAACTGTGACCCAGGAGATATAATCTGAATAACCCTTTTCTCCCCAAGTTGATAGTGGTTGGAGTGTTTTGTCACAGCAATGGAGAAACAAACTAGAACATGAGGTAACTCAAGTCCAGAAACCCAAACACTGAATATTCTCTCTCATACACAGACCTTAGCTTCAAATTTTAGATTACTGTGTTTAACATGGAGTTCTTGTAGAGGCCTGGAAGCTAGAACCACTAGGGGAGGAAGGGAAAAAAGAGGTCTGATGGGAGGAAGCATAGGGAACACATGCAAAATGAACGTAGAGGGTAAACACAGGGTAGAAAGGTTAGAGTGAAGACTGCACTAGAGGAATAGAGGAGCGGAGGGGCTAGGAGGAAGGGTTAACCAAAACTAAGAGTACATGAAAAAGATATGGAAGCCTACCATTTGGTAAGATTATTTTAAAATATAATTTAAAAAATAGTTTGAATGGAAGTACCTTGCTTGAGTAGATGATGTGCCTGCCAAAAGTCATAGATTGTTGAACAAAATTCCCAGTGCCAGGTATGGGAAACTGTGCTGGATAGCTTCGGTTGTCAACTTGACACACCTGGGTAGAGGGAACCTTAACTGAGGAATTTCCTCCATTAGATTGTCTTATAGGCATGTCTGTGGAGCATTTTCTTGATTGCTGAGTGATGTGGGAGGGCCCAGGCCACTGCGGGCAGTTCCTCTCCTTGGCAGGTAGTCCTGTGTTGTACAACAAAAGCAGGCTGGGCATGGACTAGAGGAGCAAGCCAGTAAGCAGCGTTCCTCTGTGAACTGTGCTTCAGCTCCTGCCTCCAGGTTCCTGCCCAGAGCTCCTACCCTGATTTCCCTCAGTGATGAGCTGTAATGTGGAAGATATAAAGTAAATAAGCCCTTTCTTCCCCAAGTTGGCTTGGGTCTGTTGGTCAGGGAGGTTCCAGAGGCCCTAAATGCCCCCCAAACAAGGCTATTGCCATTACTCTTTGTTGCCCACCAGAAGTAGATTGTAAGACTATTGCTTAAGTTACCACACACTTTGGTTGTAGGACATAGAGGAAAACAGCTGAAACTATGCTGGAAGATTCCTCCCTGCTGGCTATCTTTCACGGTGCCAGAGGGTTCTATGTAGGCTGCCTAAGGAGTAAAATCATCAAAAGTCTTACCTGGTGATGATACCTGCAAGCTACATTATCAACCTACCAGGCACAATGATTAGATTTGAGGCTCAGTTCACAGGAAGAAACTCATGCCTGGTATTAAAAGGCTGGTGAAGAGTTGGTGGCTGGAGAGGTTATAGGCCATAGGGTGGAGCCTACTACTATTGATTTGGTAAATGGAAAAATGTTCTTATAGTTTAGTGCTGCACTCAGCATTGGTCAGAGTGCTTAACGTAGAGACTCTTAATTGGTCACAGTGCTAAGAATAAGTCACTGCTGGGTGTTTAGCTTTAAACCGGATATGTATATCACCCTCTCCAAGCCAACGATCCAGGTAACATCGCAGAAGCTGGGAGGGGGGGTGCGGATGGGATGCCAGAGGATACAGAAGAGTATTGCAAACAATGGCTTCTGGGTACAACCTGCCATTGCTCTTATGAACTCACAGCAGCTCTGATTCTCTGCACAAGACCTGAACAATACTGAGACCATCAACATTTAATCATGTTTGAAGGAAGAGCTCATGCTATCCCACCCCTCCCTAGGGAACTACTAGTTAATGATTTGGGGGAGAAGGAGGTGTCATTTTCTTCAGTAGTGTAGCTGTTAATACATCGTGCTGATATATAGTGACCAGTGACCTTCCCTCCTTCTTTCCCTTCATTCCTTCCATCCTTCTAACAGAGTTTCATGGAAACAAATAGAAACAGGAAATGCAGTATAGTCAAATTTCCTAAAAAGACAGAAAAGGCATTAGGAAAATAGGTTTTTTGTTTGTCTGTTTTTTAGCAACGAGATAATATTGAGTCATATAGATTTACCAATGCTCCAGGTTTTAAAACCTTTGAAAACAGTAATTTCCTGATTGAACCTGATACATGAAGCCTCTTGCAGACAGTCTCTTCTGGACCTCTTTTTCTCTCCCATCCTGCTGGCTGTGCCAAGAATGCATGATCTGACCACTCCTTAGCTGGCCATTTGTCTATTTTCACCAAGCAAGCAACCAGTCCCTGAGTAATGAGGAACTGTCTCCTGTGGGACAGAGATCAGGTTTGCTGGTTGCTTGTTCCCAAGCTCAGTGTGTCTCTCCAGGAACACATCTTTCTGCATGTACACGTGGCATCAGGCCTTGTTGCATTATCCTTTTGAAACTTGGGAGCATAGCACATCAATGTAAATATTCTGGTGTTTTTGTTAATTAATGTGCTATGAAAAACAATGGCCTTGACTTTGACCCAGGAATTTCACACCCTCTAACACCCATGAAAATAGCAAAACAACTTCTTAGCTGTAAAGTAGGTTCAAAATCAAATCTCAGACACAACAAATAGCACAATGTAGGACAATCTCAAGATTCTCTTCATTGTACTAATTGTAAAGATTTCCCAGACAGTGACGATGACATACCAGGGGATCTCCCAGGCAGTGACCAAGGTGGACCAGGAGATCTCCCAGACTGTGGCCATGGTGGACCAGGAGATCTCCCAGATAGTGACCATGGTAGACTAGGCAGCTGAACCATCCTTAAGAAAAACTGTTCACCGTCTTCCCATCCCTACCTACTCTGAGCATCCTTTCATGGGAAGGGAAAACTTCAGGAAGAAGCCAAAAAAATAGGTCAAGTCTTCCAGGACCCCATATACCCTTTGAGGGTGTGAAGGCCCCAAAGAAAAACCTCCAAAGGGAGCAATGATTATGTCTTGAAATCTGGACATGTGGGTGATTTCACAAGACCGATGGACTAAGTTTCAATGTTTTCCTTTCCAGCTTTATCTGCACATGGGCACCATCTTTAAATATCAAATAAAATTTTCAGTTAAGTGCTCCTATAGGATGCAGACATCCCAATAATTTTATTTTTCAAAAATCCTGGAACTAACACATAGACAACATCAACTGAGATGACCACAGACTCTTGAATGTGGCAGTTATTGGTCATACTACTTTTTTCTTTTCTAGGCTGACCATTGGTGAAACCTAATCTGTTTCCCTGACAATGCTACAATTGTGGAGTTGGCATTTTTATGTAAATAGCTGTTCCCTGAGTCATTAAACCCCATTGCCCCTGACATTTTCCTTTCTGACCCTTATCAGCCACACACTAGCAAAACATGAAGAAATAAAGAGGACAGAGAAAGGCAATAAAAGGGTTACAACCAAGAAGTGCATTGTGACTGTGACCAACAAGGAAATTTGGAAATGGGTGAATGAACACCAGGGACGTCCTGTCAGCCAGCCACAGCTGCATTTGTTCAAAGTCTGTCAAGTGCTTAGCACCATTTCAAGGTGCCACATAGAGATACATGAGAAATGACAGCCATCGATGCTGCTTTAAGAGCACTTAAAATTTAATAAATGAGATAGTTCAATTAAGTGCCTATATATCCACAAACACAATCTGGCCCTTGCTTACCCCTCTGTTTCTTTCATAGCACTTGATATTTCTTTGTGTTCTTGCTTAGTATAGCTTCCCCTGAGCTGGGCTTTGACTGGTATGAGACAGGGCATCCATTCCAGTTACTCACGACTGCTATTTCAGTTCTCACCCCACTGGAATATAAATCCCAAATACACAGGGACCATGTTCATCTTGTTCACCACTGTGACCTTCTAGCCATTCAAAACACACCCAGGAGAGTCTCAAAAAATTTTTACATAAATAAGCAAAATAATTATGCAAATACACAAAGCTAGCAGCAACTCTACAGAGAGATCATACAACTTATTTTCTAAATGCTGCTACTAACTCATTAATAAAAAAGGTCAAAGAAGCAACATTTTTAAAGAATTTAGATGACAAAAACAAGAAAACAGACCCAAGAAACCTATTTGTACTTCTTTTTTCTTTGTGAATACTAGGATGATAAATTAGAAAAAAAAAATAGTAGGACACAGAACCTCATCATTTGATTTTTAATTAGATTTCAAGCACTGTGGGATTCCACTGGTACCACAGACTTACCCAGGTTGAAAGCGGGGTAGGATAATAACAATCTAGTTGAACGTGTTCCTGCTGAGTTATCCCAATGCCAAAGTGAAACCAGTGAAGCTCAAGGCTGTCTTTAAACACCAGGTAGAATAATTTCAATGATGCCCGCAATGCTTGACTCCTCATATTGTACTTTGCTCCACCCCTTGACTCTGATTCAGCCATGTGACTTCTTTTGGCCAACAGGGTGTCAGCAAATGTGATATAAACAGAGATTTGAAAAGTGCCTGCGGGCTGGGACTTGCTCCCATCCAGCATGTGTGGTCCATCCTGGAGAAGATACAGGGAGCATAATATGCCCCTCATCCTAGATCAGATTATCCTAGACTGATTGAAAGACTAAGCCCAGCCAAGCCCAGCCAGCTGCCTGCACCACCATCAGCAGGATTTCCTCACTGGTCCATAGATGCATGCACCACTGATTTTTAGGGTTTAGTTTATAGCTTTATAGTTACAATAGCTAAGTAACATGATATTCTTATAGAGCAATAAAAATTAATTACCAGGAAAACAAATGTTTAAAATGCAAGCATGACTCTTTATTAGAATAGAGAGTATTTTTAGTTCCATGATTTAGTTTCTCTACAACTGCACACACCATCACTCCAACCACATCCTCATCACTTGGGATAAGCAGGTCAGGAGAGGATGTACTTAGAGGTGAGACATATAGAAGCACAGCATGCTCAATGCTACGGTGGTGGCTGTCACCTTCCTGGCACTGTTGGTGGGCCAGTACTTTGAATACACATCATCTAGAAGTGAGAGCAAGGCTTCCATGGTCTCCTCACAGGTGGGCTGAATCTGAACTTCAGGCAGAACAAACCCATAGGTACCACTGTCCCTCAGTTCAAATGTGTATGAGAAGGGGATCTTGATGTCTCGAGCCCAAACCCTTGAGGACCCTGATACATAGTCTATAAATGAAAACAGGGAGGCAAATATAGAAATCAGACTTTGAAAGGATAGGGCTCCATACTCATGCCAGGGAATAAAGGCTCCACTGATAAAGAAATTTTCAGATTAAGGTCCCAAGGATGGCTGTCTTCCCTCTGTCCTTGGTCAGCAGCCCCGGGAGGGACTGCATTTTATTTGGCCCCTTGCTCCTCTATAGAAGCTAGCCTGTGCCCGAAATATAGCATAGATTTGCTTAGTTTCTCAGTTGATCAAAAATGAGGCAGCCTCAAATTGCAAGACAAGAATGAACTGACTGATTCCCATAAAGGAATAGCAAAAAACAACAATGAATGACTCACGGGAAAATTATTATACAAGTATCTAGGTAGGCCCTAGAGGCTAATGGAGGTGATGATTGGGGCTGGGACAAGCATTGCACCCTTTCAGCTGCATTTTTTTCTTTTGATTCTTTCCCTAGTCTTTGCCCTGATCTGCTTTCCTAGCCTGATAGGTTCTCTGGGAATTGAATCAACTGACCAAGGCTTACTGGACAATGCCCTTTCTGTTAACTCCTGTGCCTTCTAACTTGCCAGCTCTTCTTAACTGAAGCCAGGGAAAATGCTGGTCTGAGCCAGAGTATTATTGTTTTTTTCTTTGAGCTCAAACCTTATCCCTAGAGAGTATAATTTGGAATTGCACAGACTTCCTTTCATCCTTGGTCATTTCAAGTTATACAGCTCCCTGTAGATCCCAGGAACTTCTGTTCTTTCACCCATCTTGACACCTAAACTCATTGGCTTTGTTTGTGCTTAAGATACTATGAAAGAGGCAAAAAAAATCCTTACATAAAAATATCTGCACTTGATCCAACTTTATAATTGGTTCCATGCTTTGCTTTCAATGCATTTGCTGCCTTCTGTCCAACTTGAATCTGTAGGTGGGAAATGGAGACAGACAGAGAGAGAGAGAGAGAGAGAGAGAGAGAGAGAGAGAGAGAGAGAGAGAGAGAAAGGGAGAGGGAGAAAGGGAGGGAGAGGGAGAAAGGGAGGGAGGGAGGGAGGGAATCTGGTATTAAAATTAAACCCGACGATCCAAGGGTTTTGTGTTTTGTACACCTCTAACCCCAAGATTTTAGTTTTAGACTATTTATTTATTTATTTATTTAGTCTTTTTGAAACATGGTCTCCCTGTAGCCCCAGCTGGCCTAGAACTCACTATGTAGACCAGGCTTGCCTTGAACTCACAGAGATTCGCCTGCCTCTGCCTCCCAAGTGCTGGGACTAACAGGTGTGTGCCACCACGCCTATTTTTAAAAAATATTCTATCTCTTTTTAATTTTATGTGTATGAGTGTATTGCCTGCAGGTATGTAAGTGCACCCATGTTGTCCAATGCTTGCAGAGGTCAGAAGAGGGCATTTGATTCCCTGGAACTGGAGTTACAGATGGTTGCTAGCTGTCATGTGGGTGCTGGGAACCAAACCCTGGTCCTCTGCAAGAACAGTCAGTGCTCTTAACCATTGAGCCATCTCTCCAGCCCTTCGACTGTTTTTCTAACCTCTCACTGGACATTTACATCTAGGTAGTCTGTTGGTGCCTCATATCAAACACACCCACACTCATTTTTATCATTACTTATACCAGTGTGGCTCTTCTGATTCTCCTATTTCTGGCCTTGCATGTTCCCCCAACATGCATGGGAGATTCTGCAGGCATCTTTGTCTCCTTTTCCCAGTTACCAAGTTGTATTTACAGTGCTATTGCCCTATGTCAGACTCATTACCCCTGAACTGGTCTGTTGCATCTTCCAATACATTTGTCTTCCTCTCACCAATCTTTATCACAATTGGTCCCACATGGCTTCCAGATGTATTGAGCTATGGTCATGATTGTGATGAAAAGTTTTCAATAACTCCCTGTTGCTTGTCAAATGAACTACATACATACTTCTTAGCCTATATTTTGAGCTCCTTTATAAATGGCTCTAATCTATGTTCCAACACTATATTCTACACACCTAGTCCACATGGTAGTCAAAATCAGCCTTCCCCACTGTCCCTCAGACACACCCATGTTCCTCAGCCTTCCGATGTTTTGTCAGGACATCCCCTTCACTTGGAGCCTTACCTGTTAGAATTTACTTAAGTTTGAGATACTCAAATATTGTCTTCTCCACCTGGCCTTCCCTGATCACCTCAACTGGATTCTCTTTCTTCCCATTTTCTCTCACTGCCCTTTGTTCACCTCTCTTACGGTTTCCCTTCTTATTTCTTCATTCAGATATTTCAAACCTAACTCTACTGCCATGTCACCTTATCAAAGCACTGAAAATTCTCTCAGAACTAGAGGTTCTATGGCTTCAGCCTGCTCTTTGAAGACGATTCCCTGATATCAGCCACTACTGAAATTCAACACTTATTGACCTTTTGGTAAGTCCTGTACTTATTGACCTTCTGCTAAATCATTGTCCATGGTCTGTTGATAGGACCCTCCCCCATACAACCCAACATTATAGCCTATCTGCCAGAGGTTATATCCCATGGCTTCTCCTTAGAGCCTTACAAACACCATCAAAGACCCTTGTCACTCCTGTTAGCACATTATGCTCCATTGCATTGGTCCCAGACAGCCTGGCTATACTTAGAGGCTTATCAGTTACCCTGACTCTCAACTAGTAATGGCCTAGTTTTAGATATTTTCTCTCCTTTCCTTCTCTGTGCTTCCCAGTTGAGTGCTAAGATGTGAAAACGTGGTGCTGGGGTAGTGTGGAGGAGCCCAGAGACATTTCAAAGGAAGAATTAAGCAGGCAGAAAATGGTGGTGGTGAGGTCATGGGCAGCATCCTTTAGGCACTTGAGATTTTCTCTGTGTAGTTGGGACAAAACAAGAATGCTAAATTGAGCATAGCCACAAGCTTTTGCTTGTCTCCACTCACTAGTGGGGATTCTTCTGTTTTCAGTCTTTCAGCTGCTCCCCCCGCCCCCCAGTATGAGCATGAGTCTGCCTTACCTCCTATTTTTGTGTGTCCTAGAAACTGAAATAATGGGTAGAAAAGGCTAAAGAAATGTAAAAAATAAAGCAGTTGCACCATTAACCCTGGAAGGGGCTCACCAGAAAAGGGAGAGTCAGGAAAGGGATTTCTAGAGAGAACCCCCATGAAGGAAGTGAGAGTGGAGAGTGGAAAGGATTCAGGGAGCTCTTCTGTCATCAAAGAAACTGAGAGCCAGAGTCTGAGGGACAGTGACTTACCGTCTGTACTCTCACATTCTCGAGAGTCAGCTAATAAAGATGGAAGTTGTTCTTAATCATTGTAAATTCACATGTGTTCTTGTGCTTCTCTGAATGAAACTCCATGCTAGCTGGTCTACAGAAGGTCCTTATGCTTATTTGCAATACATAAATCAGTGCTACATCACATTTTTTTACCCAAATTATTCTTTGCTTTTTTCCCCCATTTTTGCAGCTCACCCAAGACAACTATTTCACTTCCAGCCTTTGTTTATTTTATTCCCTATAGTTCTTTTTCCTCAAATCTTAGTTGTGGGATAGGAGACCCATTTTCCCTTCTTTGTTAGCAAATGAACTTTTCCTTGATTCTTTTTAAGGATTTTTCCATTATTACTAACTATAGGGAAATAGATAAAGGTAAGAAATGTGTATATGAGAAGTATAGAATTGCAGTTCTCAGCTTATATATTTGGTTCTTTCTGAGAAAATGAAATGAAATTCCCTAGACTGATTTCTACTTTGGGGGCCATATGGAGTCATTTTCTGGTCCATCTTTTCTGTTTAATGGTGCTTCCTAGTGAAAATGATAAAAATTCCCTTTCTAGTGGAACATGATACATATTGCTAAAGATACACATTGCTAAAGTCTGCTCAACAACTCTTTCACTGGGCTGTAAGGATATATTCACAGGTAGATGAACAAAAGCTTTGATTAAAGCTTGGGCATGTGCAAGAAGAAACAAAGCATGAGACACAATACAAGAGATGACGTGAAAAGATTTCAAATGGCAATAATGCTAGCATGTAAAACATTAAAATTCTGATAGGTATCCCAATTTCCAGAGCAGTTCAGAAAGTGGTTATATATAGTCCCGCTTTCCACATGGTGATTGCCACATTTTCTATAATGCAGTACAATATTCACCATGGTTTCTAAAAAGTGTTGGTTTTGTAAATACAGAGAGATTAATTACTAGCCTCTGGTGGCTGTAAATAAGGTTAGAAATGGAAGTCCCCTTGGAGCTGGGGGCCTGGTTTGGTCTTATACACTGTGTTCTATCTTCTCCCAAGTACCTGAAAATACTTACCAAGTAGATTCAATAAGGTTGACATACAGCAAAATGTTCACACTTTTTATCAAAGTCTTGAACGTGAGTGTTTATGCTTATCTTCTGCACTGGAGACTGTAAGAAGTACAGAAAATTGTACCAGTTTCTATGTATAGAACCAAGGCTTTATCAATATTTTCATCTTAGAGTTACTTTTTAGTAGCATCTATGGTGCTGCCCCAGGTCCTCCTCTCTCCTTACCCCTCCAGCCAGTGGCCATGGGGCTCTCACCAATCAGCAACACAAGACCCTCTAACTTTTAAATGCAGACCTTGTAAAATGGTCATATACTACCCGTTTTCCTGAACCAAAAAGAATGACATGCCCAAGAAAAAAATATTGGGCTATACAAATGTTGATAGGAGATGCCTTTCCATCAAAGACCTTTCTGTTGGTGGAAGGCACTTTCCCTTAAAGACCTGCAGTGTCCCTGGAAATTTATCTAGCTTTGTTACAGTTCCATTGAAAGAGAAAGAAATCTACAACGATTATTAAAGAAACTAGAGACTAGGATAGTTCTGAGCTTCTTAACCATTACCTGTATTTCTTCAAATTTCTTCATTGAAGAAAAAAGTGCTAGGGTTTACAAATTTCAAATTGAACACAGTCGGCTGGAAATTAAAATTGATAATCGCTCCAAAAAGTTGCAAATCCTTTCTGAGTAGAGAGAGGCTGTGTGAGAATGAAGAAGGAACTCCAACACGGAGAGGACCAACCTAGGTTTCCACATGGCCTGCCTGTAGGGGTTCTGGAAATGTAGTTAACTCAAGTTCTCTCTCACTATCTCCAAAGTGAGATTATTTATTTCATCATAAAGGTCAAATAAGAGAGTGCCATTAAAATTTCTTTGAAATTGTAATGAACCAGGCAAATGTTAGTTATTTCCATATCTTGAAAATAATCATATAGTACAAATTTTTGAAAATTATAAGGATCAGTAAAAGAAAAAAAAATGTCTTGAAGAAAGATACGTGGGTATTGCTGGATATTTGTGCTGAGGGGGGCCTCCAGGCACTGTACTTTACGAGTCACGCTCTAGCGCAAAACGGACAGGAGGCATAATGCAATCAAGAGTTTATCTGGCCTCTGTGATGTCAACAACAGGGGACTCCTCACTATCATCCACTTCAGCATTTGCACACAATGAGGAGCTTCTTTTGAAAAGTAAAAACATAAAAGGTAATAAGAAGTATTGGTAGGATATGGAGAAATGTGAACCCTTGTGCACTGTAGGTGAGTATTTTAAATTATACAACCAAAATAGAAAGCAGTATGGCGTTTCTTCAAAAATTAAAACTATAATTACCATATGACACAGCAACTATACGTCTAGATACATCCAAGAATACTAAATGTGGGGTTTTGAAAAGATGTTTGCACAGCTGTTCATAGCAGTATCATTCATAATCTATGAACGACAGAATCAACTCAAGTGCCCGTTGATGAATGAAGGGGGAAGCAAAACATAGTATATATATGCAGAATGGAATACTATTTTCTTTTAAAAAGAAAGGAAGTTCTGACATATCTTCAAGGGAGGAACATAGAGGGTATTGTGTTATGTAAAATAAGTCAGCTATAAAAAGTCAAATTGTGTATGACTTCACGGATACAAGGTAAGTAGAACAGTCCAGGCACAGAAAGAAAACTGATGATTGCCAGAGTTGGGGGTAGAAAAAAAGAGTTGTTGTTTAATGGGTACCAAGTACACAGTTACAGACTGAACAACCGGAACTACACATTTAAAAATGGCTCAGCCGTTAAGAGCACTTGCTGTACTAAGTCACCTATAACTCCAGCTCTCCGTGATCTGACACCCTCTCCTGGCCTCTACAGGCATTGTATGCATGCAGTGCACGTATATACATGCAGGCAAAACACTCATAAACAAAAATTAAAAATAAATAAAATCTTAAATGGTCACCATAATAACTTTATGTTAGATATATTTTACCATGATTAAAGATTCAGTTACAAAATAAAGATAGAAAAGAATGCAATTCCCTTTGACTTGTGACTATCATCCTCAGATACACAAAAGGGCAGAGAGCTCAGTTCTTTCCAGTAATCCTGCCCACCACTGCTTGGATAAGCAAAGCTTCAGAGAAGGGCCTGACTAACACACAAAGAACAAGCTCCATCCAGCTTGCATTCCCCTTGCATATCCTCTTACAAATATTCTTAGGCAAATGCTGGAGGAAGAGTTTAGAAGAAAACAGAGCACTGTGTTTAGTAGAGAAGAGAACAGATATTATTCAACATGTTCTTTTAGATTTGTCATATTCTGCTAACAGCTGGCAAGTTCTTTAAGGCACGGTTCAAAAGCTGTAATAACTGAATGGAGCTTCAAGAGAGAATTTACAGAAAGGAAAGCACATTCCTGCACATTATTAACATAATCATCTCATTTATATTATAGCCGAATACCTAAGATGTCTCCCAACTTGACACTGCATGAAACAGGTAGTTAATTAACGTAGGTAAAGCCGCATTTAACCCAGAGTCTTCCGGGCAGGCAGCTGGCAAGGTGTAAAAAGCAGGGGAAAGAAAATAAAGATGAGCAGGGCGAAGAAAATGGGGACTGTGCCAAAGTCTCCAGGAAATGGAAATCAGGAAAATGAAGGCAGTGGTCCTGTGGAGGTTTGTCTGCAGGCCTTGGCACTATGGACTCACCAGCTCTTCATAGTTACTTGATTTATTTTTGGTGCAGCCGTATGGAGTGAGAATGAGCTCCCCATAAGAGTGTATGGTCAGGAAGCACAGCATGTCCTTTTTCCTGCTCTCCACAAGGCTGGAGACAGCTTTAGTCTCTGGTTCAGACGCTGGGTCTATCCCACAGAATGCTGAATCTTGGCAGTTTAAGGATGCACCAATACCTAGAAAATAGGAGACCACCAAAAAAAAAAAAAAAAATTCATGGTCTCACTTTACAAATGGTTCACAAGGCTGGGTGTGGTGGTGCATACTTTTAATCCCCACACTCAGGAGGCAGAGGCAGGCAGATCTCTGAGTTTGAGGCCAGCCTGGTCTCCATACTGAGTTCCAGGCCAGCTATAGCTACAGAGAAACCCTGTCTCAAACAACAACTATCAATAATAACAATAACAACAACAAAAAAGTCATGACCCAGGGCAAGTAGCAAGTTTTGCCCAAGGCTTGCCCTCGGCTGTCAAGTCAGTCCTGACTAAGTTAATCAACTGAATAGTCCCCGAAATAGTCACTTGATGAGGAACTCAGGAAGGCATGTGGGACCTCATGAAGATTTAGAAGCAAAGTCCATCCATCCTCCATGGCTCAGAAAAATCTATGGTGATGGTCCTCCTCCCCCTGCAAATGATCAGAAATCAAATCTCAGGTCCCTAAGGCAAACTCTCACCATGTTATTTTCCAAGTCCACCCCCCTACCCCCCACCCCCGCCAATGGCTTCACATTTAATCCACATGATGGCCTTTAGATTAGTGGGATTACTGTGACCCACGTTTTCCATAAGGGAAAACGGAAGCAGGAAGATGAAGCAGTTTTTCCAAGACCACTCAGCTGCCAAGTCTGCATCTTAACCCTTGCCAGCGGGCGAATGGCACATTCTTATTCATTCCCGTCTCTCCCTTTGCTTCCAATCCTGTGTACAGATCGAGACTGGAAAACACGGAAGTGCCACAGGGAGGAGCGAAGGCTTGCTTTCCTTCCTGTCTGCCTCCCCGCTGTAAAATAATCACCAGCTAGTGCTCTGGCTCGTCCTTTCTTGGTGGCGATCTATTTATTTTAAAACAAAGTGGTTGTTTTCAGATATATTCCTCTCAGTTTAGGTCTACTTTGTCTTAATATAGCCAATGTCGTTTGAAGAGAGTTCTGCACTTGAGTGTTGGTGACTCTGTACTGTTTAGATGATACCATCTCTTCAGAGGAAATCAAACTGGTCAGAATGCTCAAAAAACTGTACGAAATTTTCAAAACTGATTAGCAATCCACTTGGCTTCTTGGCGTTTCTTTTACTTACTGAGCATGCACTTACTACACCATGAGATGTTGAAATTTCTATTGAGATCTGATCCAAAACATGTGCCATTATTATGGAATGAGCAGGATTTCCTCCAGAGACAATCCTGTAACAGAGGAACATTGGGATGTTGCCATGTGGAGGTTTCATAAATCAGTGTTAGCGATGACAGGTGGTCCTTGAATATGGAAAATGCTTCCTAGGATTATCTCAAAAAAACTTGCTTTTAGCATTGTGAAGCATGTGCATATGTAAATTTTAGTTTTGCAGAGAAGCCAACTACACTCAATAATAGGAACATCTGTACAAACCAAAGTGAACAAACATGTAAATAATCCAATTGAGGGGACAGTTGGTCTTTTATTCCTGAGCAGATATGCTCGGCCTGTGGACATGACTTACTTACTTAGAACAAGCTTTAGTCACTTTTGAGGACTGAGTGATACAGGATAAAAGGGAAATAGCTTGACAGATGGAAAAAGGCCATTCCAGGTATATCAGAGAAGGTTTTTGCACAATTTTAGAAGACTGCGAAGTAGAGACAGGGATAAAGACAAGTTTCAGTGGCAAGCTCACAGAGAGGGCTTCACAAATGGGGCCAGAATGGCTGTTCCAGAGAAGGGCCCCAAGGAGGAGCTTTGGGGAACGATGGACAAGCAGAAGGCAGGGTGTGCTCTAGGAGAGGGGCTCTCACTCGAGGAGTGACATGCTTTATAAACATTGCACAGAGAAAGCTGTCTGCTATTTACTGCAATAGAAGACGATGACACATTTAACTGTCTGATCACATTGAAAACCACAGGCTGCTTTAGTATTTAGTCATTGTTCCCTTCATGCTTCCAGAACAAATTTGAGGTAGTTACAGGTTGGTGTACATCAATATAATGCTAACTGGGAAATAGGCAAGTCACAAACATTAAGGAGACAGCAGAGGAGAAGAGTTAAGTCTGAATAGAAAACTGGGAAGATGCTAAAAACAAAGAAAACACCCATGCTAGACTTCAACTCTAAGGAAGTGTTAGGCTTCCACAACCCCAAAATTGACTTGATTAAAAAATATCGAGGTATGCTGAGTGTGGTGGCACATGCCTTTAATCCTAGCACTCAGGAGGCAGAGGCAGAGGCAGGCCAATTTCTTCAAGTGCCAGACCACCCTGACGTATAGAGAGTTCCAGGCCAGGCAGGGCTACATAGTGAGATCCTGTCACACAGTGAGCTACTGTCTCAAAACAACAATATAT